GGTTTTAGTTCCCAGCACCCACATGACAGCTAACAGCCATTCTTAACTCCAGTTCCCAGGGACCTGATGCCCTCTTCTGATCTCCATAGACACCTGACACACATGTGGTACATTTACATGCATGTAGGCAAAGCACTTATATACATAAAATAAAAATAAAGGAGATATTTTACAAGATTTTTAGGGGCTAGAGAGATGGCTCAGCAATTGAGAGCATTGACTGTTCTTGCAGAGGACCCGGGTTCGAGTCCTGGCACCACATGGTGGCTACAAACTGTCCTTAACTCCAGTTCCATGGGAATTGGAAGCCCTCTTCTGACCTCTGCGGCATTGCACAACACGGGTGCACTCACATACATGCAGGCAAAATACTCATATACATAAAAAAATAAAAGATTTTTTTGAGAGTTTAAAGAAATTCTATAAACTCTTTAAAATCCACTTTTTAGTTTGGTGGTGTATATCTTCCTTTTAAAATCTAATATATAGTTAAATAAAGGAAATCAAAAGTAAATGGGTACATCTCAGGCTGCAGTTTTTAAAATCTTTTAAAAACGGTTTTAATTGGAAAAATGAAAATATCTATATCTCAGAAATTTGAATCTTTTATATTGGTTAACAGATTATAATAGTGGGCTGGGAGAGGGCTCACTGGGTAAAATGCTTTCTATACAAGCATGAGGACCAGAGTTCAGATATTGAGAACCCATATAAACGTTGGGTAGTTGTGGTAGCCTGCTTAAAATGCTAGTGCTAGGGAAGCAGAAATGGGGCTCTGTGGGAGCACACTGGTTACTTAGATTAGCCATATAGATGAACACTGGGCTTGAGTGAGAGACCCCGCCTCAGTACATAACATGGAGTTTGATAAAAGAAGACACCTGATAACAGTCTCTGATCTCAACACACACACACACACACACACACACACACACACACATATTTGAGGCCGCCTAACATTTAATAGAAAAATGAGAAAAAGACCTAAAGGCAACTCCCAAAATTGATTTTAAAATAGTCCTTAAGTGTATGAAAAATTGTTTAAGCTTATTCACAATTATAGAAACTGAGACCAGAGAAGCCCCCACTATTTTCAAGACTGTCTAAAAATCAAGTAATATTTTCTTGCCCTCAAAGCAGCATAGATTTTTTAAGTGATTATTTTCATTACCAATTGTACAATAAAGTTCCTGCTCTAGTAGAAAGTGAAAAACAGATCAGACACAAGCTGTCTTTACAGTGTTTGCAATTTATGGAGCAGACGAGTAATCACATAAGCAATACTATGGCCCATAAAGTAATAACACAGGGTTCAGGGGAACTATCTAGTGGGTCTTAATTACACTGAAAGTCCTCTCTAGGTGAGTGAGGTTTAGACCTAGAACATTGATAGGTAAGTGTATTAGTTACTTTTGTGCTGCTGTGATAAAACACCATGACCAAGGAAACTTATGGAAGGAAGTTTATTGGGCTTATCGTTTCAGAGGAATAAGAATCCATCATAGTGGGAAGGCATGGTGGCAGAGGCATACAGAGCAGAAAGCTGAGCACTCACATCTCACAGCAGAGCAAGGACAACTTGGAAGTAGGGCAAGGCTATGAACTCTCAAAGCCTACCCCGATGAACTGAAGAGATGGCTCAGCAGTTAAGAGCACTAGTTGCTCTTGCAGAGGATGCAGGTTCAATTCCCAGCACCCACATGGTAGCTAACAACCATCTTTAACTCCAGTTCCAGGAGATTCTTGCCCTCTTCTGACCTCTGTGGGCATTGCACAACAAAGGTCCACTTGCATGCATGCAATGTACTCATACACATAAAATAAAAATAATAGTTAATAAACATCCTTCCCTAAGTAATGTGTTTCCTACAAAAGACCATGCCTCAAAAAGGTTCCATGAGCCTTCCCAGACAATGCCATTGACTGACCAAGTGTTTAAGTACCTGGAGTTTGTGGGGAACACTTCTCATTCAAAGTAACCACAGTAAGGCTTTTTGACTTTTATCATAAGTGTTTTGGGAAGATGAAGGGGCCTTAAGTTGGGACTGAATGTGATATTCTTTATGTTTTTAAGGAGTTCCTAAAATCACAACTGGTTGCTGTTTGGTGAATAGACAAGAATAGACTTCACTTGAGATCAGTGTGCAGTATATAAAGGCTCTGAAACACCCTTTAATACAGTCATTTTTAGAAATATATCGTAAGAGAAATATATCGTAAGAAAATTGTATTAGTCACTTTTTATCACTGTGACCTGACAGAAACAACTTAAGAGAAGGATTTTGTTTGGGATCATGTTTCAGATGGTTCCGTCTGTCATGGTGAGCAGAGTACTTCAAATCATGCCGAATAAGAAGCAGAAAAACAGGACAGGACAAGGGACAGGATACTCCCCCCACCATGACCTGCCCAGCAGTGACCTACTTTTTCCAGCAATGGTCCACCTCCTGAAATTTCTAGACCCTCCCAAAGTATCAGCACGTGCTTGGGACTAAACCTCTAACAGATGAACCTGTTGGAGAGATAATTTATCTCCAAACCATAATGAAGTAGGCGGTATTATAGTCAAAGATTGACTTGTATAGATCTTATCAGACTGTCACTGGGAATTGCAAAAATTTTGGAACAGCTATGTTTAAAAGAGGAATGGTTTCAGATTCTTTCTTTTCCTTTACTCTGGTTACCAGGGAGGTAAAGGAAAAGAATCTGAAAGAGAAGAACAGTAGGAAGCAGGCATTAATAAGGGAGATATGGATAAAAATGGGGTTATTTTAAGGGGCGGGGGAAGAGAAGGTTATACAAGGAACCTAGGGAATAAAAGGAAAGAAGGAGCTTAAGAGAGGTGGGACCATAGGGGAAGGGTATTATTAAGGGAGAAATGGGAAAAATTAAGGGAGAAATAGGGAAAATGGGAGCACCTTAAATGGGGAAACAATGGTGGAAAGGTTAGACAATGCGAGAGATATATAATGCCTAGCTAGTTTTAAAAAATAACCAGAGGGAACCATATTAGTCCAACAACATACTGATAAATCATACATACAACTAGATTGAGGAATATAATATACGTCTAGGCAAGGTTTATCTGAGAACATTTGGTCTTTGCCCAAGCTTTATCTACATGGCACATGGTAATTTAAAATACCAGACTGGTGGAGCTAAGCTTCTCTTGGATGTTTAATAGCCATACTTTGAGGCCTATACTAATTTGGTCAGAGGGACATAAAGGACAGTTTTTGCTCCTTGCCCTCCTAGGTCAACTAAGTTCCAGGAGACTATGAACATCTCTCAAAATATCCTGTAACTGCAGTGAGTCACCTGTCCTCTTAATGAAGGAGGCCATGGAGACCCCATGAGATGGACTTGAACCAGAGTCCAGTCTACAAAGAGGAGGATCAACACAGAGAAATCATTTCCTCCATGCTTCCAAGTCGAAGCATGGACCAAGCAGGACCTTTGACTTATCTTCACATAGGCAGAACTGGTAAAAGAAAGGAGCCAGGGGCTCCTCCCAAGCCCATGTGACCCCTGAGGAACAGATTCTCAAATGGCCTTAAGAGTAAAAATAAATTGGTTTATCTGGGCCAACTGTGTGGTCTTAAACACCCAAAAGGAAAGTATAACCAAAGATTAAAGGGGCCAATATAATTTTTTAAGAGTCCATCTGTATAGCTGAATGCTACATAACAAGAAACAATGCCAGACAGGAGATACCTTCCTTTGAGTTGTTGGCCAGGGTGGCCCCAGAGACTCCCAAATAGTAACCCAGCATAGAACTGGGAAAATGAAAAGCACACCCCAATCTTATCTAAAGGAATATTGACAGTGGATTACTGCTAGATGAGGAACAGCTGATCTTCCTGAAGCAAGGAACTCTAGATAGGCTGACTAGATTCAGCAGATGGACACACACTGGGGAACTGCTGGGGGTGCCGACAACACAGTGGACAGTAACAGGAATGACAGAGTATTTGGGCTCCAGTTGGGGTGGGGAGCTATGGGAGGTGCCATTTGGGAAGTGGGTATATAGATGAATAAGATTGTGTGGGATGTTCTGTATGATATACACACCAAAAAAATCAACAAATAAAAAAATGAGTTATATTTGAGTAAGAAGGATAAACATTTACTTCATGTTAGTTAGTAGAGGTGATAAACATTACAATTGCAATCTACCTGATGACTTTATATCCATACTCAGGAGCCACGGATCCGAGTGTAACTTACTGTGACTGGTAATAAT